TTATATCTTTATGTTTGAAGCCTGAAATGTGGCAAAAGGTTGAAAAGTTCAAGGGGGCCGAATACTTTCGCAAGGCACTGTATTTCATAACCCAAGCAAAACACTTTGCTCAAGGGTGCAAAAGGAATGTCATGCATTGGATTCGAACACATGACCTTCCAGTTTTAAAGTCAGAATCCTCATTGCTTCTCAAAACTGCTACCCAGACGGATGACATTTACCAGTGAGCAGTGATCCATTTCCTGGTCTCTCTTCTTCATTTGTTCAATGGTGTTTTCCCACTGACGTATCAGCTCCTGCCTTTCCAGGTGGGCTTGACGAAAATCCTCTGCTGTCTTGTCTAGCTCAATCTGGTAGGAAAACAGAATACAAATTCTAATCTATACTAAATATTATTAAGAAACCATTAGTACAAAATATTTTCCTATCCATACTTAATTTAGTAACTGCTTATTTAAATTTATAATCACCAATTATTTGCCCTTTTATTTAATATCCTAACAGTTAGTTGTAATTCCTCAATTTCCCTTCGGGATCAATAAAGTCTATCTATCTAATTCAAACTTAGCTGACCTAGTAGATACTCCGTGCAATTCACAGCTGTAACAGTAATGCTTGGGATCATGGCAGGGCATCACATGAGCTGGAAGCAAGCTAGGATGTGACATCTACATGAATGCACAACTGAACTGTAGTAATATCAAGCATTAAAGCACCTGGGCTGTTATTGTTTCAGTCAGTTCATTATCAAGAATCTTGCGCTTCTGGTTTGCTTCAACTGTCATCTTCTCAATCCGCAAAGTCAACTCCTGAAGAGCATAAGAGAGATATTCAATTCTTTAACTTTCAGAAATCCTACAGCTCATAAAAAATGTGTCAAGCAATCAAAACTCCCACCAGCATGGATCACACAAAATTAAAAACAAGAAAATAACCAATAACAAGTATTTGCAAACATTTCTGAGCATTTTCTCTACTATTTTCTACTATTTCAGAAAAAATGTAGTAAAGCGATAAAGGGTGGAATAACCGTAGTATTGCAGCCTTACTCAACAGGCTAAATGAATGTGATGGCTACCAAAGAGAAAAAAAATGAAAGCAAACAACCTCAGTCTAAGACCCCAAGAGACCATGAGACTGTTAATACCTTAAAGACGACGCCACAGGTGGAATTTCCTATAGACTTATAGATATTTCCTATAGATATTGTTCATTTTAATGTTATTAACCAAACCTTTATTTTCCCTTCATCTTGCTGGGCATATTTTAGGATCGCCATTGAGTCCTCGTCTTTTTGTGCAGATTCTTCTAGCCAGGCCTCCAGCGTCTGCTGATCCCAGTCCAGCTGACACTTCAGCCTCTCCAGTTTCTCCGTCGCTTTAAAAATGTTGTTCTAAGAAAAAGTGGTTCAAAATACATATAAAATAGTCAACTCTGATTTCATCCCAGAAATCTTCTGGTTTTATTTTTTTTTTTTCAATGTATGCTTTCACTGAAGAGTTGAGGTAGGATGACAGATTTTAGGCTTTAGACCTAATTTAGGAAGGGAACCTAATTTGGCTTTATTTGACCATGACATAGGGTTAACAATTTCTGGAACTGCCAAAAGTACTGATGGATCCTAAATGTTCCCAATGTGTAAAGGACCTTGTTTAAAATCTCATCTTTAACAGATCCATTTTAAGGGTAGCATGACTTTTACCTTTTTTCAAACCTACATTTTTTAAGTTTCGCTGGAAAGTAACTTGGTGGATACTGTTCGACCAGAATTGGGAAACATTTAAGATAAACCATTTCTCTCCTACAATCTGAAACAGTAACTATAGACTCCAGCTTTTATATTTTCTATTCTACAGAAAGATTCTCTCTCTGATATTTGTAAAGTCACAGGTGCAACACTAGTCTCCAGCCTAAAGCTGTAGACAACCCTTGCCTGGCTTTAATTCTCCGTGACTGCTGAAATTGTTGGAGTGATAATGGTCTGTTCCCAGCACTGTGGTTTAACATCATCACTCTAGCCTCTTTTACTTCATTATACATCTTACATATAATGACATCTACACAACAAAAAGTGTCCTGACGCAATCAGACTTCGAAAAGTCCGAAGTCATTGAAAAAAAATGCAGCAAAGACAGAGAAAAAAATGTACTATGTAGTATCTGAAGCTAATGTCTGATCATTACAAAACTCTTAAGCGCATAAAATGGCCAACTGTAGTGAATCCTACAAGAGTATGAAGGTCCCTTTAATGGGGGAATTGGCCATTATTCAGCATTATACCGCGTACGCTCTGCAAACTCGAGTTTGTGTGGGCATGCGTTTCTGTGAATCTTGCCTCTTGAGTGTTTCTCTTTTCTCTCAGTGCAGCCAGACTGTTCTCCAGCTGCACAATCTCCTGCTGCAGGCGACCCTTCTCTCTCTGCGCCAAAGCTCTGAAATGCTCCTCCGATTCAGTTTCTTTCTCTCTTGCTCTGCAAAGAGCCTGCAGACACAAATATACTGAACAGTCACTTCCTGCTTCGAAAAAGGGAAAATGTATTGCATCTGACTTGCAATGCATCACATTGTCATTCAGTAACAGTGAAGTTGGACAACTTCAGAAAGATGGGCATCAAACGTCTTAAAACGCAGTGCCTTATTCACAGTGTCATTTCATGTCTGTGACTGGTCTATCAGAGGACAGCTGCTCTAAGACAGGGTGATGTACTGCTCTAGAATGGAATCAACAAAATATCATACTGTTGTGATTTAAAGAGGGATCTGTAGAAGGAATAACCTAATATTTCAAATCAAAGAAATTCACATTTATTCTGTATATTTATAAATTGTGTTAAAAAAGTGTTAACTTATACTTATTTCTAACTTATACTTATATCTTCACTACCAGTACCTTCATTATATAAAATATCTGTTTAATAAAACAGATTTCTTCCAATAGGTGAGCCGAGTGCATTCAGAAAGTTATACCTGTGTATGTAGCAGCTCTTGCTTGACATTTTTCAAATGATCAATCATTGCTTGAATTCTGTCTTTGTATTCACTGAGCCTGTTCTCCAAGTTTGTCTTTTCCCTTTGTTTTTTTTGAAGCTATAAATGAAACATAAAAGACAAATAATAGAGGTAACATTCCAAATGAACACTCAATGTTTTGTTATTCAAGAAATTAAACTTACAGTAGAGCAACTCTGTTCTCCTGAACAAACCATTATTTTTGCTGAAAAGACGTTTTACATTTTCTTAAAAACTCACTATAACTTCATATTTTACAGTACAGCGGGGGAAAAAAAAACTTTAATCCACTGCAAACAACTGCGAAATAAGCAAGCGACCAATTTGTTTTAATTGGTAGCATTTGTTTAACTTCTTTCAAGTAAAATTCAGTATATCAACAAGTTATATAAATTTGAAATATCAATGTAATAGTACACAAACTAAAAAAGCAGGTCAGTATATTCTAGCAAAAAAAATGCAGCGTGCACATATATTCGGTAATGATGAAAATGTTTAAACGTTACGTCTTTTTAATACTAGTATGAATGTATAGTCACAATTTCTGTTTTTTCACTCCAGTTTACGTACTTCATTCTCTAGCGCTTTATTTTCGGCATTCGCCACGGGAATGGCGAACCCTTCATCCCATCCGACCTGCTGTAGAACTGCGTCCGACATGATGGATCCGGCCGAACCGAACCAGCTGCGCGACTCCGCACGGCGCTGCTCCTGCACTGTTGTCAGCGGAGACCTTGGCAACCGCGGTGGTGAATGGCAGGACCCGGATGACGGAAGTGTACCCAGAGATATTTATTTCCTCCAGTAGAGGGCAGTGTAACACTAACATTGCCTACCAGTGAAACTTCATCCATCATCATAATCCTTCCAGCCATCAATTTTCTAACCACCTTATCCAATATGGGGTCTGAGGGGGGAGCCATAGCAAACCCCAACGAGCAACTTCCACAAGGTAGGATACACCCTGGATGGGACACCAGTCCATCACAGGGCAGACAGATGCAGACACACACACTCATGCGTTTCCCAGAGGACAATTACCCTATCAGTATGTCTTTGGATTATGGGAGGAAAATGGAGGACCTGGAGTAAACTCATGTGTACACAGGGAGAACATACAAATACCACGTTGACAGCACCCCAGGAATTAAACCAAGGCAGAGATGCTAACCACTGTGCCACCCTGCCTCCCAGTATAGTCCTTCCTCTCATCTAAAATCTGTTGACAAGGGTTGCCGTACGTTAGCAGACTGCTGAGTGATTGCTGGGGTCCATGTGTACTGATCTTGTAATACATTATACCCACTTCTATATTTGTAAACAATTTTATCATATAAAAAGTTAAGCCATGATCTTCCAATCAAAATCTGATTACATTAAAAACATCATTTAAACCCTTTTCACGTGGAGAAAACCTGAGCTATATTTAAAATGTGAAAAATTACATTGATTGGTTTAGAGGATACAATAAATTCATTATATATTGTATATACAGTGTAAAGCTTTAAAGTATTGACTAAAGTATTAAAGTATTGTGAGAAAGATAAACTTGTTTAGTTCATATTTTAAACAGCATTGACTGCTATTTGTTTGGATAGGTGAACATCAATTACTTTTTCGGGGAAGAAGACATGCCTACTATAATTGAAAGTGCGGTTAATAAAAAATGTTTATTGAGCATTAAAAGACATGTTTTACTCTTTTATAGAATTCCTTAGAAAAAATAACTGTCTTCTGGGTAAAGGTTAAATATTTTTAGTGCCATTTCAATTAAGTGATCACTCATGACTGACCGAGATACACTAGAGAGATTTTGATCATTTAATTCGCATTAAATCACCTCATGAGTGAAAGAGTTGATTGGGCAGAGGTGATGAGGTGATTTAACCTGTGGAATGTAAAGCCTTGTGAAAATCATAAAAAAGTCAAACACAGAAAGAAACCAATGGTGAAAACATTCTTTTCACCAATGTTTCTTTCTTATCATGAGAACAACACCTTTGTGCCAACAGTGTGTTGGACTCTCCAACAGTGGAGCCACGTTATCTATGGCACTGAGTTAAAGAGCTCCAGCTGTGTTCCAGATGTGCAGAACGATACACTGATTGCTGTGTTCAATCAGCCAACGGGTGGGGAGGTCCAAGTGTGATGGTCTTGGCAGCAGTGTCTAATCTATACAGAACGTCATTTATAATGATTGATTACAGCCTTATCACATGGTACCTCATATATCAAGTGCTGGTATTTCACCTGTTGCACTTCCAGTGGGCTCATGGAGATACGGCGATTTTCTAATAACACACACCTGCTTAGGTAGCAATGCCGTTCTTGCAAGATGAGACTGTGACAATTATGTCCAGATGAAAAAATAATGGGATGGTGTTTAGCAACTAGGGCTCAGAGACCAGTTAAGACCCACATGCTTGTCAGCCTCCGTGAGAGGAATGAGACCAGGTCTCAGAAGACAGCAACTGCCGCCTGGTGCAAAGTACTGTAAATGCCACAGGTGTACAGCTTGTACTGCTTCGAATGACTGTGTCTTTTCACAGGAAAGACCTGTTGATCAAACACTGATCAAATAAATACATATTAATCATGTCATCATAAATCATACATATTTATGTCTTGTCTGTTCAACAAAATGTCAGTTCACATGCTACAGAAAAGATTTAGTCACTTTCATGGAAACTTGCTGTATTCAGGCAGCAAGATGTGAATTTGCAGAAGTTTATGGTGGGCAACAACTTCTGAAGTATGTACAGTACATTTGTGGCTGTATTTTCTGTTTTTCTGTAGACTGCTACACAGCCTGGTGGTGAAGGCAGATGTTGGTGATCTTGGGACTCAGGTTGCAGACTGGGTCTGTGTCAGAGTCAGTTTAGATTTTGCAGGTTCTTCCAGTGTTCATGTGGGTTTTCACCAGGTGTTCCAATTTCCTTGATCTAAAGACATTTTGTTTGGTTAAATTGGTGTCATTTAATTGTCTTCATGTTCAGGGTGTAGTCCCATCACCATATCTGGTGGTCGTCACCTGCATATCTGAGATATGTTCAGGATATCAGGAACAATGCTTGCAGATGCTTGATATTGACTTCTGGCATAGTCATGCTGAACAGAGTAGAAAAGAAACACAATGTTTTGGCTGTGGAGTCTTTTTGGGGTGTGGCCGAAACATTGTGGTTCTTTTTTTCTCTTTTCAGCATGGAATTAACATTTACTTGTTTCTTTGCAGCCTACACATGCAGACGCAGCTACAGTACCTACTTGAACTACTTCTGGTATAGTCTATAGATTCCACTAGGTGGTGCTGTTCTGCCAAACAATGACTTCAAAACACTGTTTGCTTCCAACATTCAAGATGGGTAATTTAGCTATGATTACAGTGAGTACAGTTTTTATATTTCTTTTGTGTGTATGATCTCCTTATCAATTACAATTACATATGAAAAACAGCAATGTATTCTCCTGGTTGATGATATTAGTATTTTTTTTCTGTTTTCAAGTGGCATTTCTAGTTACTTGTTTTAATCCCTAATTAACCTACATCAGTGGTTCTCAGCTTCATTTTCTGGATGACCCACCAGTATTTGTAAATTAACTGGAAAAGTGCTGCTTTTTGACTCAGTAATTAAATATGATTCATAGCTAAATAAATATCCAAAGAACTCAAGAAGTGTTGATAGTGGTGAGGTTGTATGCGGTTCGTGTCTGTGCCTGTGAAGAAAATATACTGTTCACACAAGTACATTGATGACACAGGTCTTGCCTTCGTGCATGCTGGGTTCTCACTGAGGAGTGATATACAGTTTTTCTTCCACAAAAACACTGCTACAAAGTGGTGAATGTGATTTTCAAATTTAATCTTTTAAACAAACTTAAAGACAAACTATGACGTCACACCTCAGCATAACTCATGAACCACCACTGGGTTCCACCACACTGACTGAGGAGAGAATATCTGCAGATTTGCAGTAATACCATAGGTGATTACTCCAGTGAGTGAGTGGTTACACACACACTGTGGTGTAACTGGCAAACCCAGGGAAGGTGTTATATAGATCTTTTACCTTTTAAAACGTGGTTTGTGTGCATCTGTGCTCCTGTAAAGCAGTACTCCTCTCCAGTGAATTCAGTACATCTGCAACTACTGATATCACCATCAGTTTGTAATACAGTCCAGAACTACTATAAGCAATGTTGATACTGTATGTTGGGATTGTACTAAATAAGTTCCAGTATTTCTACCAATACCACAAGAGTAAAAATGATCAATCATATTATGTTTCTGAGCCAATTACACATAACATTTTAAATAATGAGTAACTAAGAAATGAGCATGCTTGAAGGAAGGAAAGTTACACTCTAAAAATCTACAGCTTTGCATTGTAACTTCTATTATAGAATAAAAGTAAATTATACATTTGAAACATAACTATTGTTATATCTCCAGTAGCCACAGAAAAGAAACTGGGTTTAATTAGAAAGGAATAAATGTGACGCTGAGGAGCAGTTGTTCACATTTGCTTTACCTTGGCTCACAAAGCAATGTAGCTCTATAAAGGAATAACAGAGTCCTGCAAGTGGGCATTGTGCCAGAAAGCATTACTTGCACAAATGAAAATGGAATTCCACCTACTGTTTTATTGCTCTGGCCTTCGTGGTGGTAGGTAAAAGCATCTTTCTCCTGTGAAGTGCTTTAGAGACTGTGGATGCAAGCACATGGCAATGAACTCAGGTTCAATTCCTAACAAAACATATGAGTCCTTTCAGCACGTCAACACAAGGAGTATGTTTTTTTTGAAGGAAACTTACATTGTGAGGATCAAGCCAATCACAAATCACCCTTGCAACAATATTCATATCCAGATTACTAAATATCTCACACATTTAAAGCTTTAACAAAGTTACTCCCAACCTCTACACTGGTTCCAGTCAAGACTGGAGATGTTTGAAAAAAGAAGAAGAAGGTAATGTAAAAGATACCGTACTTAACAATCTGAAGGACATTTACTTGTGCCATGATTTTGATATGCTTGCAGAAATGTATGTTGTTTTCATGTGCAGTACATATTTTTAATATTGTTGGTACTGTATATACTGTAAGTATACCCTAAAACAAGACTTGGCGGAAGCATCTTTCATAACAATTTCTGCTGTCAATATTACTGCATAGGTCCTATCAGTTATGCACAGTGAGATGGTGTACTTTTCCATTATTTCTAGAAAACGTGCTTCAGTTGGGACAGTAAGGACAGTAATATTGTCATCGTTAACATTCGCCATGAATTGGATTTACATCAGGGTTTGACTGGACCAAGGAAATTTGTTCTTTCCTTGTCATAGCCTTGGATTCAGGTTATTGATCCCTTGAAATGTAAATTTCTAACCCATTTAGAGATCCTTGGGTGTCACAAGCAGGTTTTCTTCTTGTATTTGCCTGTTTATTGGACCATCCATTTTGCCTTGACTCCTGACAGGCCTCTGAGTGTCTGCTGATGAGAAACACCTCTGTGGCCTGATGCTGCCACCACATTTTCTGACAGTTGGGATGGTGCTGACCGCATGATGTGTTGTGTTTTGCTTGTGTCAGGTGCATCACTCTGCATGTCAGACACAGGACTCTTTCAAAGTCACTGTTGGCCTCACAGTGGCATCCCTCATCTGTTTCCTGCTTGCCTGTGAGCACAGTGGGGCGACTGCCTGGTGTGGATAGTGTCTTGGTGGCATACTTCACACCA